AAATGAGAACTAGGCTGACACTTTACACCTCTATTCACATCTTTTCCATTGTTGCCTAAGGTAAAATCTGAACATGTACAAGAGTTGTTGCAAGAAAAAGAGATATAAACAGACTTCAGTACTACATAAAACTAACACACGGTAAAAGATAGACACGATGACCCAATAATTCACCATTTTTGTTCAAAAGTCTGAGCAAATTTAAAGGCCTGGGGACCCTTCCAAAGTTCATCCATAGAACACTTCCTTTTATACTGTTCCCAATCAAGATTCTCATATTCACCTTTCAAGAAAAAAAAATTGTAAAACAAAGAACAACAAAATCGTTCAGCACCACAAAACCCGCAAAATTCTTCCTCTGTACATATTCTTTCGTGTGATTTTCACCACAAAGATGTCTCTTTGGCAAGTGATTAAAAACAGCAACAATTTGACATCAAGGCCTCTAGGTATATCACTTGCCTGCTAAACAAATGTGAATTTTCTATATTCTTGTGACCAAACTAAAAGTCTGTCCTTGATTCGGATATTCTTCGTTTTTCCCAGATAGAAGTCGTGAAGCACTGTTGGATCAAGCTAAATTAGTCTTTGCATCTGATTTAGAACCAGAAAATGAATGATTAATAACAAGATATAGTGAAAATCATGGAAGCTTCTTGGAATTTCAGGTGCTGAGCTAAAGGGGGTGATTGGTCCCGCGCCAAAAACTCGTGATCCACTTGAATTGGTTGTGTTCAATACCGATGAACTCGTGCTGCAAATTTAAATGCTGATAAGGTAATGTTTTCTTGATTGATAGAGAACATAACAGAAGATGGACTAATAGAAATATTAGTAGTAGAGTTCACCTAGTTGATGGATATTGACATGTATCATAACCTGCATAAGAACAAAGTACATAAATAAGGAAAAAGATTACCTAAAGAAAATAAAGTGCTAAATTTTTTCTCCAATTCTTTAGTCGAAAATTAGCATCGAATTACGAGCTAATGGAGTAAAAGATTCTAAAGTTCATTAAATTTGTTATCCATATGCAATCAACGATCACTAAACTTCATTCTTTTTAAAAAAATAAGCGAGACATTTGATTATCTCACTAATAATATGTAACTAGCATCATAAAAAGTGATTACTTCTAGCTTAAAAAAAAGTAGCTTACTTGGGTCAGTGCTAGTGGTTACAGCAGTGCCACCAAAATTGCAGCTAGTGGGGATTGGATTCTTCTGATAATAGCTATTGAAAGCGTACGAGGCATGATCGCGCACTGTGATCGGATTGTAGCAGCCGCCACCGGGCTGAATTGCAGAACAATCAGCGCCACTATAGCCACAAGCATAGTCTAATGCAACTTGTAATGCAGTTTGTGACACGGATTGGCTAGCAACACACCAGCTTCCACCGGCCGGGGTCGTTGGTGGCATTATGGGATTGGCTGGATTGATGACACTAGGCGAGTTGGGGCCAAAAACTGTTGGATTTAGCACTGGACTGGTGGTGATGGGAGTATTGGGATTGGCTGTTGGAACTGTTGTTAGTGGAGTTGTAATGTCCATCATTCTCGTAGAAATTGAGGTAGAGGTGTGCAATTTTTTTGTCCCTAACGCAGTCTCGGACAATGCTGAACAGAATTAAAAGGAAAAGTTCAAAATTTAGTCTATTATCATGTACAATATTGTCAACTGTGCTTGACATTTGTATTCATGAATAAGAATCACTGTCCTATTCAATGATGAGAGTACTCCAAAAAGCAAAAAGAATCCAAATTTAATGACTGAAAATAATATAATGATGACAAAACAAAGTTAAATTTTAAAAGAATCAAACCAACAGATTAAAATTTTGAAAACAGTTGATTACCAATAGAATTTTGATGATCTGAACACTGAATTCATCTTTAGAAAACATTCATTTCTCAGGAATTTAAATTTAAATTTCCTAAATTTGGAATTCATGGAACAAAACTAATGACAGAATATATATATGTTTGATTTAAAGTGCAGCTCAAAAATATTAATTGAAGAAAAAAAGAATAAAGAAAAAGGGAATTCCTAGCTTGTAAATCAGAGAGTAAGATTCCTATGTTAAAGCAAACAATCAAGAATCAATACAGATGTGGAACTATCAATAATTAATGGAAAAAAAAAACCAAGAAAAATTAATTTACCTGAACAAATTATAAGAAAAGCCAGATTCATGAATTTCAGACAGCTAATAAATACCATTCTATGCATACTTTCTTTCTTTCTTCTTCAGCTGTTTTCCAGTCAGCTTCGGCTTAGTTTGAAACACCAAGGGAAAAATAAAAGCTAAACCAAGTCAAAACATGATCATTCTTTGGAAAGGGAAGGAATTTGTGTCTATCATCATATGATATAAATGTATAAAATGCATATCTTGATGACTATGAAAAAATCTGTGTTCTGACGTGTGTGTGTGTGCGTGTGCGTGTGTGTGTGTGGAAACTTGAGACATTAAAATGAAATTGGGGTGGTGTATGGGGGAGCAAGAAAAAAGGTGGTGAAAAAAGTTGAGAGAAGGAGAAAAGGAAGGGTTAAATTAAGGCAAAGGTCTCCAACCTTCAATTTTATTTACATTTTTATCCCCAGCCTTTTTGTTTAGTTATTTTGTTCTCAACCTTTGGAAAATAGGCCTCAGTTGTCCAATAGATGATTTTCATCCCTTTTTTTCATTAGTCGACCCATTGAAAATTCATGTTCAAATATTAAATAACAAAATTCTCTCGAAAAAGTATTTAGTGACCCTAAGGATCATTTGCTGATTCTTTTGATCATATCTTCCAGTAACCAATAAGAAAAGCCAAAAATTTCATAAATGAAAATTTTTAAAAACCATAACCTTACCCATAGACATTATCACCACCCGTGCGGACATCACCACACATTTACCATTATATGGCCATGACACCACCACCACCACCACTAAATGAGGAGAAATCCCTCTTGCTATAACATAAGTGGGATTTCTCTCCCATCCCTCTAAATGCTATAAAAAATGGCAACAATCCAAGAGGGAGAATTTCTCCCTAATTTTGTCTATGGTGGGGGGCAGTTTCGTGGAGGTGGCCATTGCGGTGGGGGTGATGGGGTGAGAGGAAGATTATTATTATTTTTTTGTGTTTTTTTTTAATTCTTTTCTTCTATTTTCTATTTTCTATTTTTTTAATAATCTAATTATAAATAATGAATAACAATTTTGTCCTTTTTAATATTTGGATATGTTGGTCAAATGGGTTGAAACTATCCATTTGGATGAATTGAATGGCGCCTATTTTCTAGATCTTGAGGACAGAGTAACTAGAAAAAAATGTTGCTGATGAAAGTGCAAAAGAAACTAAAGTGTGTGGACCTTTTCCATAATTTACCCAAAAGACAGTGAAAGAGGGAGTAGTTTGGAATATAAGTTTGGTCATGTGGGGTCGAATTAGTGATGATAGTAATGATGGTGATGATATGTGCAATTTCTCTTTTTCAACCTTTTGTGTTTCAAAACATTTTTTTTTCATAGGAATACTCAGAAGCCACCCAAAGTGGAGGAAATCAGGAAACTTAATAAACACTTCAGGAAGTTATCTTGTACCATTATATAGAATTAGGAAAAACTTATAGAAAGACTTCATTTTGTACTTGATGACCCTTTGATCTCATTCAAATTTCAACATAACCTCTTGTCGACTCTATTCATTTGCGTTTGAATGCATCATGGGATTAACTTTCAGTACGAGCGTGTTAGAAGGAAAAAGTCACAAGGGACCTAGGACTTTTATATATACTTTATTGAATGTCGTAGGGATCCTTATTTTTAAGAAAGTGACACGAGGCCAATTTATCACACTAACTTACTGCGCTTCATTTTGATTGAGTACGAACTACTACTATTGACAAACTAAGAGAGCTTCAATTTTATATTACTTGGGTAGTGGAGTCGAATTTCATTCGAAAAGTAGTTCACTGGAAGTGCATGAGTTCCTTCAATTTTCTTTTTTCACACGTGTATATTACTATCTATTATACATTTTGTGATTCTTACTCCAATCCTCGATTTATACTAACTAAAATACTATTAGGTAGACATACATTATCAAAAATTGTGACAGATTAGATTTACTTATTTGTTTCTTTTTGCTATTCTAGTTGGGTAGTTGTGCAACCTTCACCATCAACTACATAATGTTTCTTGGAAAGACATTTATTCACCTTTTTATTTTATTTTTTCTCTTTTTGGTTAAAACTATATTGTCAAGTTTTTTCTTCCTTTAAGATTTGACAAGGTAGTGGTAGTATGCTTGATGGTGAATGTTTCTTACGGTGAGGAAGCCAGTAATTTCCTTAGGACCTGTATGACAATGCTTTTGATAAAGTTTTAGCATATTTTAATAAAAGTTAATGAAATATGTAGTTAGGGTTAGGCAAAATGTTCGAACCGAACCGAATCGAAACTGAACCAAATCGAGCGGGTTTTTTTTAAATGAAATACCCGAACGAGTATCCGAATCGAGAACCGAATGGTTTGGTTCGGTTCTCGGTTCTAGACCCAGAACCGAAGAATC